TTTCCTCTTTTTCCAAAAAATTGAATTATCTTATTCACCATCTTCTTTCCTCATCTTCTGATTTATTTCATTTTATTTTTTTATTTATTTTAAAAATTCGAATCTCTTTGCGGCACCCTTACATCTGATTAGGAGTTAGGCATTCTTGCTTCCGACACACATTTTGACCCCGTTCCGACACACATTTTGACCCCGTGGGGATAACAAAGTGCAGTCAAAATTTTCTCATTTTACTTAGCCTTTCTTCTTGATGCCACACTTCGACCCCATGGGGGTAATGAAATGCTGCAGCCTTTCTTCTTGATGCCCCACTTCGACGCCATGGGGGTAATGAAATGCAGTCAAAATTTTTGAAAAATCCCACACTTAATTTCCCTTCACCTCATCTACTTTTTTTTTTTTTATATATCTTTATTTCTTTTTTCTTTATTTATTTTTTTGAAATTTTTAATTTGCAGCATTTTGAAACTTAGTGTGCTTGTCTTGGTCTCTCCTTTCCCTTGGCACATTCATGACTCCATGGGGGGTAGGGAAATGTTGCTGAAAATTCGAAAAAAATAAAATTTATTTCTCTCTTCACATTTTGTTTACTTATTTCTTTAATTGTTTTTATTATTTATTTCTTTATTTATTTTTATTTTTCTCTCGAAATTTCACTGTTTATTTTATTTTTCCTCCCACCTCCCCCCCCAAGCTTGCTATTTTATTTTCTTGATTAGGTCATTGGTACCCTACTCTAACCACTCAAACTCCGATTAGGGTTTTCTTAGGGTTTTTCTAGGGTTTAGGGTTTTCCTAACCCCCTATTTCCCCTTTCCATTCGGGCACCCTGGACCCGAACCACCCTTCCCCCTTTGAGGGCGCCCACGCTCGGCTCACTAGCGCCGCCCGTTTCTTTCTACCGCGGACCCCCCCGTACGCCCTCTGCTCACGCGAACCTCCTCTGGGCCCCTCCAGTCCAGCCCGTCACCTCCCCATGGCCGACGACGTGTCACAAGCCACCGACGAGGCGACGACCTCGGCACCGGACTCCATACCCGTGGCGGCGGACCAGGGCCATCAGCCGTAGAGGGATCTGCACACCCTCATCGCCTCCTTCCTTGCACCCTTACAGGCGCAGGTGGCGACTCTTGCCGCTGGATTGCGGCAACTCCAGGACGCCGACCGTCCTTCCTCTCCCCACTCTCTCTCTTCCCCTGGCTCCCAGTGTGGGTCCCCCGTCCTCCGACTCTTCCATCCATGCAGGCTCGCTTTTCCCTCCCTGCACCCCCCCTCCACCCCCATTCTACCTTCTTCGTACTCCCTCGGTTGCTGCGATCTCTTTTACCGCAGCTCCCTCACAGCTTGTCGTTGTTGCCCCCACCGCTCCCCTGTGCGGCCCGGGCGTATAGTCAGCTGCGCCCCCTTCTCCAGGACCTGCGTCGACTTACTCAACCGTAGCGCAGGTCTCTGCTCCTCGATCTCCTCGCCGCCAAAACGGTGGCACACCACTCCTCCGCTTGACGGACGTTGCCTTGTATGACGGTACAGGGATACACGTGTCTCGGTGGCTGCGGTCTGCCACCCGCACACTCCAGCTTATGGGCTCCCATCTCCACGCGCCTGCGTGGCGGTGCTTTCGGCGCCTGGGAGGATTTCTACACCCACTCCCTTCCTAAGGGTCGGACCCCGACCTTCATGGATTTTCATGCGTTCCTCGAGGATCGCTTCGGAGCCCGACATGACGTGACTGGCGCCTTCAAGCGTGTCGTCAGGACACGATGGTCCGGCTCTGGTGGCGTTGCCGGCCTGGACAGCTACATCAAGGTCTTTCAGGACGCCCGCCTCATTTGTGATGTGGCGTTCCTCCCCGAGGCTGCCCTTATCGATCGTTTCTTGGCCAGCCTTCGCCTTGAGTACCGCTCCGAGTTATGGCAGTATGACTTCACATCGGCCCCGCAGGCTTACGAGGCCGCCTCTCCCAGCCTCAGCGTATTGGTCACGCTCCCTCCTTCTCTCATGGCACTTCCCAACGTCATTCCCCTTTCCGAGATGGTCCCCGCCGGTCCGCGCAGCAGGGCTGTCACTTCTCGCACCCGCTTCAGCGAGCTCGAGTATGGTGAGCAGCACGTTGTTGTCCCGTTGTTGCCTGAGAGTGACCACAGCGACGCCATCGACCTCTGCGAGGCCGTCCACTACCACCTGGAGGACTCTACTCTCCCTATGGCCGAGCGCCTCCAGGTCGCCCTCTCCACCCTCTCCCGAGCACGCTGCCGCTTTGTTCACGTTGGTGCCTCGCCCCTCGAGCTCCCTCTGCCGGACCTTCCTCAGGGCTTTGTCCCTCCTCACGGTGTCCTTTTCGCTGAGGAGCGCGCGACCATTTTTGGTCGGCTTGGGTGTTTGCGCTGCTCGCTAGGACGATCATACCTCCTCGCGGTGCCGTTACACCGCCGCCCTCGACCGCCACTACGTTGAGCTCTCTCGCCAGCGTCGTGCTCAGTCCCCCCCCGACGCCTGCCATCCCCGCTGCGCCTCCTAGCCACGGTGCAGTGTACACCTGCGCCCTCCTTAGTAGTCGGCTTCCCAACATCTCCGTCATGGTTGGCCCCTCTCGCTAGTGGAGTTGAGGTATCGCAGGACCCGACAGAGTGTACTCAGCCCTCTGTCGCAGTACCACTTGCGCCTCTGCAGACCATCGTCGCCCCTCCTGCCTCTCTGCGACTACCGACGCGTCGAGCCATTCGCTCTGCCCGTTGTAGCGAGCAGCTTGCGACGCGCGAGGACGTTGTGTCTTCTCTTCTGGACTTGAGCATGCTCTTGCCTCGTCAGGAGCGACTCACCCTCCATGTCACTGCACTGCGTCACCTTCTCACCATCCTCTCTGACCCTGATCGCACCCTCCCGTTCATTCCAGTACGACTTGGGACCTCCACGAGGGTGTACTTAGCGCTGTGGGATTCCGGTTCTCAGGGCGACTTCATTCACCCAGGTGTGGTGAAAGAAGCCCACTTACCCACGACAGGGTCTCCGACTCCCATCTCCGTCACCCTAGGGGATGACAAGACCCAATGCTTCTTCGATCAGACGGTCACCGACCTCCCTTTCTTCCTCACTGTGGAGCCAACTAAGCGTCCCCCGGCGTTTCATCGTCACCACTCCTCTGCACATTTCGATGTGATGGAGACGGGGTACGACTTCATGCTCGGTACTCCGTGGTCACGTCGGTTTCGCAACATCGAGGTCGATTGGGCGACCAACACTCTCGTTCTCAAAACGAAGTGTGGACAGATGTATCGCGTACCTTTCATAGGTACCACGGTGACACCACGCCCCGACCCTCCTCCCCCGAGGCCTTCCGTGCCCACACCATCTCCTACTATCACAGTCACCTCACCTCGGCAGATCGCTCACTTCATCCGACAGGACGACGTCACCTTCTTTACGGTGAACGTTACGAATCTCTTGCACTATGATCCACCCTGTCCCGACGCCGAGCTTATTTCTCTTGAGCCAGAACCTCCTATCTCCATAGCTCTCATCTCTACTTCCCTCCCTGCACCATTCGTGGAGTCTACCCCGCCATACTGCGCTGACGCTGACGCTGAGGAACTCGCACGCTATACGGTCGACCTGGAGCCCGCAGTCCGTGACCTCATTCAAGGGTACCACGACGTTTTCCCATCGTCGTTCTCATCCGCCGGCATCCCACAGATGCGCGACGTCGAGCATTCCATCCAGCTTGTGCCTGATTATCGTGTTCACCACCAGACACCCTACAGACTCTCGATCCCCGAGGCCACTCAACTCAAGCGTCAGCTTGCGGGGCTCCTGAGACTGGGTTTCATTAAACCCAGCAACTCCGCGTGGGGTGCACCCGTCCTCTTTGCGCGCAAAGCGGATGGAACTCTCGCCTTTGCATCGACTATCGTGACCTGAATCGCTACACGGTTAAGAACAGCTACCCCATGCCTCGTTCCGACAAGTTGTTCGACCGCCTAGAAGGCAACCTCTTCTTTACGAAGATTGATCTTCGTAGCAGTTACCATCAGATCCGGGTCACTGCAGCGGACCAGCCAAATACAACGTTCCGTTCAAGCTTCGGCCACTATGAGTTTACGCTGATCCCATTCGGCCTCACTAACGCACAAGCTGCCTTCTAGAGGGCGATGAACGACATCTTCAGGGACATCTTGGAGCGGTACGTTCTTGTCTACCTCGATGATATCTTGATCTACAGTCGGACCCTTGAGGAGTGTCTCAGACACCTCCGTGATGTCCTTGACCGCTTGCGCAGACATGGCTTCTACGCCAAGCTGAGCAAGTGCCGCTTTGCCCAACACAAAGTGGATTTCTTAGGACAGTACGTGTCTGACCACGGTCTCCACATAGACGATGCGAAGATCACTGCTATTGCGGAGTGGCCCGTTCCTATATCCGCCAACTAGCTTCGCAAGTTCCTAGGCCTCACTAGCTACTATAGTAATTTATTCCAAGGATATGCTAGGTATTCCTACGTCCTCACCTCCACCCTCCTCCGGAAGAACCCGCCATGGTCTTGGACACCCCTCCACGAGGACAACTTTCGTGCCCTCAAGAAGGAGGTGACATTGCACCGGTTCTTCACCTACCCGATTTTGATCACCCTTTTATCCTTGCCACCGGTGCGTCAGACTTTGTTGTAGGAGCAGTGCTTTCTCAAATTTTCCCCTCCTCTCCTAATTCCTTTCATCCTCGCTTCCCACCTCCTACCTCTACCACTGCTTCCCGCCTGACGCCTACTCGTCCAACTACTAAAGAGCCTTCTATTGATTATTCTCCTACCATTGCTGAGGACGGCACTGTCGAGTCTCGCTCAGGTGATTGTCCGGTAGCCTTCTACTCCCGTCAGCTCCTGGCCGCCGAGATAAACTACACCATTGATGATTGTTGGGTTCTCGCAATAGTTTATGCCGCTCGACACTGGCCTCACTACCTGCACGGGGCACCATTCACGGTGCGCACGGACAACTCTGTTGTTGAGGCTTTTCTGACAAAGTTGAAGCTCACTCCTCGACAGGCTCACTGGTGGCAGGACCTATCCGAGTTTAGTTTCGCCACCGCGCACATTAAGGGTGAGACCAATCAGGTCGCAGATGCCTTGTTCCGACGCCTTGACCATAATCTGGAGCAGATCCAGCTCGCTGCCATCTCCGTCACCATCGTCCAGCACTCGGTGATCGACGAGTTTTGTACTCAGTACCGCCACTGCCTCGACTATCGCGACATCCATGCGACCCTTCGGAGTGGCATGACCGTCCCGAACTGCTCTCTCGGGGACAACGGTCTTGTGTACTGGCACGGTTCACAGGTTGCCATAGAGCCCCGTATTTGCGTTCCCCCCACTAGACAGGTGTGTGCGGGAAGTAGCAGAGTTCCAAGACCAGGCAGCCGCTGGTCATATGGGCTTCCACAAGACGTTGGCTCGTGTGACCCGCCTGTATGTTTGGCCGAAGCGCAAGGATTTTGTGAAGGACTACGGCGCAGAGTGTCCCACCTGTCAGGAGTGAATAGTACGAACCACTTGCCTTATGGTTTGCTTGAGTCTCTTTCTATCCCTGAGGGTCGTTGGCAGTCCATCTCGATGGATTTTATCGGTCCCTCTTCCTATCCCCGAGGGTCGTTGGCAGTGCATCTCGATGGACTTTATCGGTCCGCTTCGTCCTCCGACCCCCCGCGGTCATGATGCTATCCTGGTCATCGTCAACCACTTCAAGAAGCGCGTACGCTTTGTTCCGAGTCGCTTTGCCATTTGTGCACGTGAGGTCGCTGACAGCGTGTTTGACTGAGTCGTGCCTAACCACGGCTTACCCCTGAGCGTCATATCTGAACGTGACCCTCGCTTTGCCAGCCGATTCTGGCGACGACTCCACGAGGTGTGTGGTACCCAGCTCCTCTTCTCCTCGTCTTACCATCCCCATACTGATGTTAAGACCGAGGTCACGAATAGGACTCTCGGAGATATTCTTAGAAAGATTGTTCGTGACGACCACCAGTGGGATCTCCATCGTGCCCACGCGGAGATAGGCTACAACCATGTTTTCGTGCGCATCGGTCCCGCAGGGGGACCCTCCCGGCCTCGTCACGCAGGATTTTGCAGGACTTCGTCGTAGAGCGTGTGTTTTGCTGCTCTCGCCGAGTTCGCCAGCCGTACCTCTCGCGAGCCCCTACGACAGGATAGGGTCACACGAGGAACGTCTCACCTCTACTCGCGGGAGATGTCACCATCCCTTGAGTGGGCGTATCCCCACCAAGCTACCGAACAACGTGCGAAGGCTTTTCGTGTGCAATCGCAGAGGTGGCCTGGCCGAGTGTGTTTCTCGTTTGCTGTAGCATAGGGGGTACGCGCCGTCAACGCCCCTCAATCGGACCTGCACGCGAATCGACGCATCCACTCACCGTGCGTTACACGACAATAAATTAAAATACACACACAAAAACAAAACTCTCCTAGTCCCTTCAGTATCCAACCCATAACCTTTTCACACGGTAATCGGTTAGGCGTCGTGCGCGAGACTCGTCATAAAATCGCGTGGGCGCTAGGGCTTTCTCATATCGACTAGCCATGCAAACATACGCAAGCAATCACAACGATGGACTACTATGTAGTACCCGTAATCACACGACCCTCGATAATCTCAGGGGTCACGTTCGACACTCAAGTGTCGACTGACACGCGCCTTGAGGGGTTAATCTCTCGACGCTAGACAACCGCCAAGGCGGCTGATCACCACACCCTCTTCTGCACCCTGCGGAGAGTGGGTGGTACACAGGTTCAAACCTGTGGTGGCAGACAACTCTCGCGGCCTTGGAAAGAAACTCCATCATCCAGGGCCTAGAGAGAAATCAAGGGGTTTGACTTCGACGGTTGCCACGGACTATCACTTCTCATAACCACTGTAGGGTTCCCTTTAGCCATTATACCTATGCTAGATAAGGATAGTTCAAATAGTCAAGCAAAAGTTTGTGTGGTATTAGACGATCACTCTCACATCAGTTGTGTGGCTTGTCCATCCGCATGCACACAATACTCAGACTAACACCAAGCTCAATTCAAAGATCTTATAAGCATACCTGCGATCACACAAAGTTCAAACAACAACATCACACACACTAAGAGAGTCAACTTTACTGCATTTCTGCAACTCACACCCTGCCTTGCGCATACAAGTCCCAACCAATTTCCACCATCCCTCAAATAAAGGTACTCAGTCTTTAGAAATGACCACTTAAAAAGAAATTTGGGTGAAAACCCTAAGAAACATAAGAGCCCACAGAAGCCAAGGCCTTAGGTTGAGACGCAGAAGCAGGGAAGTTGTGTCGTAAACCGACGAATAGACAACCGACCTGTTACCAGTGATAGCAAAAGATGATGCTCTATAGGATCAGGCCGAACAAGTCAAGCCTTCAATCGAATTCGAAGTCCTGCATCACAGTACAGGCCAAGACACACCACTATGTTAAGGAGAACACGCTCCATGTCGAGGCCTAACTCCACTACTAACTTTCTTCCTCTTCCACTAATTTCTAGTAGCCCCTGAAAATTTCGGCAGCATCTCTCCTAGACAGGGCCTTCGCCAGATTCTTCATAGCAGGAAACAATCTAACTCTTCAAACTTCACAAAATTTCAGCAGCGTTCTCGTAGGAAAAGTACCTTTTCAGAATTTTTAGGCGTCAAAAAATGATTAACTTTGTTAGATTTGTAAAAATTTCGGCAGCGCTTCCCGTAGGAACAGGAGATTGCCAAGATTTATACAAAACTAAAAATGCAAAGACAAAACCCAACTATACTTGGAAACCACCTCCCGACACTTACCTGATAGTTAGAACCGGAGATAGTTTGCACGATCCCTTCTTGAGGATGGCATAGTGAACTAACACTGATTCTAACTCCTAGTAAGGTCAGTCCTATCTTATCCCAAGTTTCCCTCCCATCATCCATCTCTCCTACCTATAGCTCCAGCACCCAGCGAGCATCTAAAGCAACTAACCTAAAAAGAGAAGTCCTAAGAGATAGCCCCAAAGCATACACACAGGTGAGTGTGACAACATCTCTCGCCAACCCTCAGGTTCCTTTCCATGTCGCATAGTTAGTTCAAAAACTCTTGTTATTCCCTTTTACCCTTCCTTACATAAGGCATAGGATCAGCCAACCCAACTTATGGATGTGACTAACCTGCCAGTTTATATGACTAGGTCACACCAACTTATGGTGCCCTAGTCTAGTAGCACAAGTATACGTAGGGCATAGGACCAAATCACACTAACTTATGGTGTGACAAGTTTTTGCCTAGACGATTGACATAAGGTGTATGATCGGGACGTACCAACTTATGGTAAGGCTGGTCAGCCTGAACGTTCGGGATACACAAAGAACTGAACCTCCTCAACTTATGAGGGGCCATCCTTAGCCTGAACAACGACAAAAGGCATATGACTAGAACACACCAACGTATGATGCGCCTAGCCGGCCCAAACAGTGACATATGGCATAGAACCAAGCGACCCAACTTATGAGTAGTCCAGCCTAACCTAGACAAAACCACATGCGCGAATGACCGAACGGGCCGCAACTTATGCGTTCGCCCACCTTCGCAATACAACCATGTTCAACGAATAAACATTAGGCTTAGAACTCACCACACCAACTTATGATGTGATAAGCCTCTGCCTGAACGAGTGAATTAAGGCGAATGACCGGGCCGTACCAACTTATGGTAAGGCTAGTTAGCCTAAACTTTCGGCATACACAAATAATTGAGCCACCTCAACTTATGAGGGGTCCAGCCTCTGCCTAAACGAACGACGAAAGGCATATGACCAGGACACACCAACTTATGATGTGCCTAGCCAGCCCACACGATGACATATAGTGTAGAACTAGGCTACTCAATTTATGAGTAGTCTAGCCCGCCTAAACAAGCAACAAGCACGTGTGACTGAACAACCCGCAACTTATGCCTTCCCTCAGCCTCCGCAACACGACTACATTCAATAAGTAGACTCACAAGTTTTTTTTGTCTTCAGACGAGTGGTCAGGTCACCTCAACTTATGAGGCTCCCCATCCAAACATCAACTTATGTTTAGAAAGAAAAATAGCCAAGTTTTATATTATCTCTCTACTCTTTGTGTTATCAAGGGCATAGGACCAACTAACCAACTTATGGATGAGTCGGCCTGCCCAAAGTTACCGCTTAATTTTATAATCTCATTTTTCTCCTCTGCTTTATCTGCTACCGGCTTATATGGTTAGATCTCCCAACTTATGGCGCCCAACCTGCCAATGATGTACGTAGTATATACTTATATCAGATTGTCTGCTAAGGTTCCACTTATGTTCGCGGCTCATGATTGATCACACCAACTTATGGTGTGACCACCTGCCAAAACAAGTAAACATAAGGCATAGGACTGATCCACACCAACTTATGATGTGGTCAGTTTCTGCCTAGACAATCGACATAAGGCGTATGACCGGGCCACACCAACTTATGGTGAGGCTGGTCAGCTTGAACAATCGGCATACACAAAGAACTGAACCACCTCAACTTATGAGGGGTCCAACTTTTGCCTGAACAAACGACGAAAGGCATATAACTAGATCACACCAACTTATGGTGTGGCTAGTCAGCCCATACAATGACATATAGCGTAGAACAAGGCTACTCAACTTATGAGTAGTCTAGCTCCGCTTAAACAAGCAACAGGTACGTGTGGCCGAGCAACCCGCTACTTATGCGTTCGCCCAGCCTCGGCAACTCGACAACAAATAAAGTCACATTTTCATTCTGTCTGAATTTACACAAGTAATCTGAATTCTCATGCACACTTGTTAATTTAGCCTTTCAGATCATGTCTTGAAATGAAAGCAATCAAAAGTAATAGCTTTCTTAGTCATACCTGCAGGCATACAATAACAAAGGGTAATACAGTTTTAAGGGAAGGGATCACACACGTAAAACGAGCATTATACCTGAGTGTTCCCTGCCTCCAGAACCCCACCTGGGCAGATTACCACCAGATTGAAATCCAACCTCAAGACAGGTACAAGACTGCGTTCAAGACGCGGTATGGGCATTTTGAGTGGATGGTCATGCCATTTGGCCTCACCAATGCCCCCGCAACGTTTCAAGCAGCGATGACGACT